GCTCCGGGCTCTGAGCTAGCTGTCAGCACAGAGCCTGACGTGGGGCTCGAACCCACGAACCACGAGATCATGACCTGAGCCAAAGTCAGATGCTCAACCGACTGAGCCACCCAGGTGCCCTGGTGAACTATTTTTTGATAGTGCTTTTTTCCCCATCACATTTCCCCTTTCTGTGGATTGCATGCTTGCTGTCCTTGATCTGGAACCTCGTTTTACTTTCTCCTTCTCCTCCTTCACTTCTTTAATATTTTGATATTTGTTTATTTTTGAGAGAGAGAGAGAGAAGGAGAGAGAAAGAGACAATGGACAGCAAGGGAGGTGCAGAGGGAGAGGGAGACAACACAATTTGAAGCAGGCTTCGGGCCCTGAGCTGGCAGCACAGAGCCTGATGTGGGGCTCAAACTCACGACCACGAGATCATGACCTGAGCCAAAGTTGGACGCTTAACCAACTGAGCTACCCGAGTGCTTCTCGTTTTACATTCTTGTTGCACATTTGTTTCCCATCTAGCTGTACTTAGTACTTAGTTTTTCATTTACAAACTCTTGTCTGTTTTGCTCTAAAAGCCAGAATGTACTGGGGATCTGTGCTCTGGTCATTGGAATATTTATACCTACCATTCAGATATGGAAGTACCTGGGGGGGGGGGGGACAGAATTAATAGGTGGTTGCTTGATGAAAGCAAGAGTTGAGCAGAGAGAGGTGGGTAATCTTATGAGTCTAATGAGTTAAAACAGGAGTTGTCCTTGATTCTGCTCTTTCCCACAAACCCTTACAATCTAATCCATCTTCTTTGCTTATGGGCTCTATCCTAAAATTATAGCCTGCATCTGCCAAAGTTTCCCCATCGTTCTGCTGAGTCCCTTTTCCTGAGCTCCTGCCACCTCCCCCAGGCTAAGCCACCATCTTGCCTTTCTTAGACAAGGGCTGTCTAAAAGAACTTTCTGTGATGATGATGATGATGATGATGATGGAGACACAGAATCTGAAGCGGGCTCCAGGCTCCAAGCTGTCAGTAGAGAGTCTGATGTGGGGCTCGAACTCACGAACTTCGGATCATGACCTGAACCGAAGGCAAATGCTTAACCAACTGAGCCACCCAGGTGCCCTGAATCAATTTTTTTTTTGGGAGATTGAGAGAGAGCATGTGCAGGGGAGGGGCAGGGGGAGAGGAGGGAGAGAATCTCAAGCAGAGTGTGGAGCCTGACATGGGGCTCGATCTCACAAACTGTGAGATCATGACCTGAGCTTAAATCAAGAGTCAGACACTTAACCAATGAACCACCCAGGCGCCCGAAAAAAAAAAAAAAGGAATCAATTTTTTGAAGAAAAATGAGAAAATGCCAAAAGCAATATGAGGAAAGCAATCCCATGTTATCTCTTCCTGCTGAACTAACATCACATGCCCTGCAATGCATGCATGTTGTGTATATTGTAACGTCACACAGGTTTGTTACCTACTTCTTTCACTCAGAAATACCATGTACAGCATTTCCTATCAGGAATTACTCATTACAAATCAATTTTAAATGACTGAGGAGTGTTACGTTTCATGAATGTACCATATACTTGGGCATTCAGGTTATTTCCTTTTACTGTTAGAAACGACTTGTCAGTTAATTTCTTTTTCTTTGCTTTTAAAAAAATCAGTGTTCTAGAAAATACTAGGTTCTTGTCCTTTTCATCTGCCTTTCACATGCGTGTGTGAGTCACAGTCTTCCCGAGTGTTAGTATGTAATTTGTCCTGGATGCGGATTTGTTGTGACTCCATCTACCTACATCATGTTTCTCTTTGCGGCAATGACCGCTTGTTTTCCACACTGTTCAGTGGTTATAAAAACAAGTGTTACGCAGCGACTCTGTTTCCTGAGTGCACTGCTCACACAGGCTCACGCTCCCTTCCTGTCTTCCAGCGGAGGCTGATCTCCAAGTCTCCAAGAACACACCATGGTAAACAAAGTTCTCTGAACACCTACTGATTGACAATGTGGTGTATTTTTATTTAAAATGAATGTCCACTTGCTATTCTGAAAACATGTAACCTTGACCTTTATATTCACCTCAGTTTTAATATTCTTTTAAACAGCAGCAGTATAAAAAAAGGTGACTTTGTCCTTAATGTTACTTGTGAATAATATGTAGGATAATACAATGTAAAGTAATAAATGAACAGCTATGTGTATGTCATATTTATATTGACATGCTTTGAAGCATGGGATTAAGCAATGTATGGGCTTCTAATGTTGCTCCTCTCTCTTGGTTTGATTGTGAGGTGGGAGAATTGTCAGGGGATCATTATAGAGCTTCAGAAAAGCCCTGAGTGGTATATCTTGACTTCCTTGTAAATTCAGGTTTCTAAATCAAATCTTACACGTTGGTCACATTTCTGTTTAGTGCATCACAAAAATGCTAATTGGATTCTTATTTAGTAAAAATCATGCAGAGAAGCACATATTGGTCATTCTGGGCTAGGTGGCTTCTGGAAGCAGGAGCCAGATAGGGTCCAGGGTGGGATAGTGTGTGGACGTGGCGGTCACAGTCCTGAAGAGCCAGTGAGGCTGGCTTGGTTACAGAAAATAGGAGAGCTGGGGTATTGGGGTTCAAGTGTCCAAGCTGCTAAGAGCTTGACTTTAACTGAACAAACCTGAAAAGCTGGTGTTCCTGCAGATGCCTGAGGCTGTTTTTCTATGCATGACTATTAGTTTTCTTTTGGTGATCCTCATTGTTTAGTGACTTGAGATGGGGCCTGTGCTCTGAAGTGTTTTAAATCCAGGTTGGAAGGGCACTGAGGCTCAGTCTGAGAGAGAGAGACTAAACTATGTAGCTGAATGAAGAGTAACTACACAAACTTTGCCACGCATTCCATATGTTTGTTCAGTTCTGCTCTGCACCAGAAAGTACTGTTGTTGGAGTTTAGTAATGAATGTGACATGATTTCCCTGCCCTTAAGGAGTGAACATGTGATTTAGTATCTGAACGTAGTGGCCTCAAATGAAGGAGACATGGGTTTTTCACAGCTGTAGATTTCAGTGAGTGAGATGCTAACAGTCCTGCAATAAAAGTGGATTTGAGAGTAAGGACTGGCAGCACTGGGTGAGGTGTCAGGAAATGTGGTCATGGGCACAGGCTGGCAGGTGGATGAGTGGATAGGCGTGGAATCTGAGGAGCTTATACGGTCATGAAGGCATCGTTGTGTGTAGCTAGTTTTGATGTGGGCTGCTCTGAAGGCTTGGGGTTTCCAAAGGTCCTTGAAGTCATGCTTTCTTCACCATGAGACATTCTTGGAACTACCCAGTTCTAAGTATGGGGTGTGAACATGGCAGCCACTAGCTCTAGACCAATGCTACTCAAGTGAGGTCAGCCGACTGATGCCAAGAGATAAGTACAAACATTGAGAGTAAGGATTTAGAAATTTCTATAGCACCTTGACCATTGTAGCCACATCCAACTGTGTGAGCAGTGGGGTAGTTTGTCTGAACAGCATATCGACCCATTCGGGTTTTGTGGGACTTAACACTTGGGAGTAAGTTCATATCTGGCTGGAGCCAGGGACTAGTCACATGCAGTAGGATCACATATCTTTCCTTAATGAACAGAAACAAAATGAAACACAACAGAAAACAACCTAGTCCTTCATGACAGTTGTTGGACAAACACCTCTTTAGATCAAGCACAAAGGTAACATGAAGTAAGGCTGTGAGCCCCAAGGTCAAGAACTTAAATATAAGACATTGATCACATTCCAGTTTCCTTTTGGGTCTTGGTCAGTGAACAGACTTCCCTTCTCTTCTCTTTCCTCCCTGTCATCAGCATGTATTTTTTCATGAACATTATTTTTCTGTGCATATTATATACAGTTCTACACTTATGTTCTATGAACATTACATATAATTCATAATATGTCATTTTAAATAACATAGCATTTTGTTGTGTTTATATGCCACATATTTTAGTTCCTATGTTCAGAAGCTCTTTTTCCTATTTTAAATAGTGTATCTATGAATATTTTGTGCAAATTAGTTTTCTTTTTCTTTGGGTTTCCTGAAGTCTGTACCCAAAGGAGAAGTACTATGTTAAAGGGTCACAGTTGGATTGCTGTCAAGAAAAATGAAACTGATTTAGACTGTGAGACTCCATATACAGGTTTTCTCTGTGGCTTTAGGCTTCGTAATTTTTAAACCTTTTGCTAGTTTAGTAGGCATATGCTTGCCCTGAGATTGTTTTAACATACTTGTTACTTCAGAAGGTAGTGACAATGTGATGATTTGATTTGAATGTTTTCTCACAGTTAAAACTAAACAATCTTAAAAGAAGAAATTACCTGAATGTTGACATTTTAATCAATTTTTACATAGCTTGGATATAAACTTATCTTCATAATACTTTACATCTTTCCTCATTCTGTGATGATTGGTTTTCTATTTGTTTTATTATATTTTGTTGTGTAAAACTTGTTCTTTAGTGTTTACATTTTTATACTTAGTGACACCATCTTTCTATCCTATATCTTCTCAGCCAGAAATTATTTTTCCCTTCATAAGTAGGATAAAATATCCTGTTCTGATCTTGCCTAGTTTTTTAAAATGCTTATCTCTTGGAGCTCTCTGAACCTTATTACATACAGTGTTTGGTGTAAGATGTGGATCTTATTTTGTATTTTATTGTATACTGATACCTAACTGCCCCAATAACTTTTATTAGTGATTTCCCCTTATTTTTATGTTTCTTGTGGTTTGACAGATATTGAGCAGTTACCATAGAATGAATGTATTTTTGGAATCTCTCTTCATATGCTATCATTTATTTAAAAAATTAGTGCAACATATCTGAAAGTCATTTGTAATCTGTTTTAATAAAGCAGTCTAACACCATAACTTGAGGAAAGTATTATTTGGTATTCTGCCCTCTTATTCTTTGAATTGTATTTCAGTGTCCCTTGGTAGTTTTCTAACCTGCATGATTTCTTTCTTTACACATTAAAAAAAATTTTTTTTCTAAAGGTATATTGCATCAAATCTTAAGACAAAGGGCACTAGACATTAAGAGAGAGGCCCACCCAGGTTTTACAGTCTAGTGCAGTTCCTTTTCTTCTTGCGTGTACTCTGCTAACATTATTACAAAAACCAAGATGTGATCATGGTGTCTGCAGTTTTGACACAGTGCTTAAACGAAAGAAGGTCCTGCCCGATTTCATGGCTGCACTTTTGGCCACAGGAAGGCAAGTGCTTTCTGGTATTTTCTGGGACAGTAATCTTAGTGGGGGGTGTGGCTGGTTAATGAGAGCATGAGTTTGAGGATTTGAAAACTAAGACTCCGTTAGCTCAGCTCTGATCCGAGGCTATAAAACTGTTCTCTGTGCTTTGGGAGAGAGAGACTTGTCAGCATTCACTTGCCATCGTTAATGAAGGAAGCTGTTCAGAGCACATGGCATAGAGTACTTTGCATGTGGAAGAAAGTGTCTTATAGGACCACTGTTTAGACATTAATAAGGCAGGAGAGAAGAAGACATAAACCGTTAGACTGAGGTGTGTGTTTGTTTTTTAAAAGGTGAGGTGGCTTTTAAGGGAATTTGTGTCTCACTGTGTCCTGAAGGTTTAGTTCTGCTGGCAAATCCTGTGGGCAGCGCCTCCATCTCCGAGCCCCGAGTGGAGGGGCATATACTGCTGCAGAGGCCAGCGTGTGTCACATGGAGGAGACCCATGGATGTCCGTAATAGAATCCTTTCCTGTGTGGGGCCATTTGCCTGTGAGTGCTGAACCGTTTTCCTCTCTGATTATCGACTTTGTGACAATATCAAGTGACTCCAGAAACTGAGAATGAATGTTTGGGCTATATTAAATTTTTATCAAATTTCCTAAGAAGTCAAGAAGTCTTGGCAATGAAATTAGCAAAGACCTTGTGATTATTTTAGAGATTACTTTATAAACTCTTGCATTATATAGCTATCGTATATTTTTCTCCAGAAAAATGCAGCACTTGAATGTTTTTCTTCTTTTGCTTGCTGGTTTCTTAGTTCTCCTGCTTGTTGCTTAACATGTTTTTCTGATACATTAATATTTGTTGCCCCCAACCTGTGTGGCTGACAGACTCACTGTTTCCTTCTTTGTTTCCCCCAATTATAAAATGATTGAGCTAGTAGGAGATATATGTAGCAGACAGCTCTGTAGCTCATAGTAAGTAATTGCTATGAATGCTTTATTGTACAGAATGCATCTCATCCTCTTTGAACTTGATGAAACCCTGTAAGGTGGGAATTATTGCTGCAGCCTTGCTTATAAAGGAGAATCCTGAAGCTCAGAGACTGAATGACAACCGGCCTTAGGCCACAGAGCTAATTAGTGGTAGTTCAGAATTCTCGTTACAAATCTCATATTTTCCCTGGTATATCTCCTAGTTTGAATTCTTTTTGATTGGGTTCCATTTTATTGGAAGAGAATGGAGGTGTTATTATTTTTTTAAATTACAATACGTGGTGCTCAATTTAATGGGCTTAATGAATAACTGGCCATTATAATGATACAAGTTTTTTTAAGGGTTGCGACTATGAAAAAAACACCTATTTTTATTTTTTAAAATTTAAAAAAATGTTTATTTGTGAGATAGACAGAGCAGGAGTGGGGAAGGGGCAGCGAAAGAGGGAGACACGGAATCTGAAGCAGGCTCCAGGCTCTGAGCTGTCAGCACAGAGCCCGACGTGGGGGGCTCGAACCCACAAACCGTGAGATCATGACCTGAGCTGAAGTCAGATGCTTAACCAACTGAGCCACCCAGGTGCCCCATAAAACACCTAGTTTTTAAAAAAATTTTTTGAAAGTATTTAATCTGATGATCAAGTGAATGTAACTTTTCTAGTTTTATTCAAATGATCTCTTTCAAAGGGAAAACATTATCCGGAAGCACAAGCTAAATAATTCTGAGTGTTCTGGATGCTATTTTGTAGTCAAATTTTAAAAATTTCATTTGCAAGTGTTTGTTGCCAGAGTGTAAAATTGAAATTGATTTTTGCCTATAAATCTGCATTCTATGACCTGGCTAAATTCACTTATTAGTTTTACTAGTTAGCAGTTTGTAGGTTTTTAAGGATTTTCCATGTAGACTATGATGTCATCAGCAAATTGAGACCAATTTACTTCTTTCTTTGTGATCTTTAGGCTTTTTTCCTTTTCTTGCCTTATGCGATGTATTTGCTACAATAATAGGCACATGTTTGAACTGATGCTGTTATAATATCCTCATTGTGATAAGACTCCTTTATGTCTGGCTTACAAGCTGGAGATACAGTGTTGGGGAATTTTATTAGAAATAAGAAAAATAACCGTGAGTTACTGGAACTTAAAAATTATTTTTCATATATTTGTAATGAACATCAATGCCTGTTTTGATGTTGAATTTGTGCTCTACTAAAATGTAAGGAATTTTGATAAGTGCTTACTATCAGTTCTGACAGATTTTTAAAAAAATTGTTTTTTAAAATTACTTGGCAAGATTAGATCAATAAGAGCTTAATAAGAATCCACTTTCATTGAGGAAAAGATGGTTAATTTTATAAGCAAAATTTATAGAGAAGCATGTTTAGCAAAGTGAGAGAAAAAGGAGAGATAAAATTGGCATGGAAAGTCAGGTATCTACAATATGAACAATATCCTTGACTGTTCATTGTGGCGGTGTGTCTATAATTAAATAATATTTGAAATGTGGCATAGAAGGATACAAAGAGATATAGAGGCAACTTAACTGACACTTCCATGCTGTGTGAACTTGGGCAAGTGACTGATCCTTAATTAAAAACATTTAAAAAATATTTAGATATTAAAAAAAAATTTTAATGTTTATTTTTGAGAGAGAGACAGAGCATTAGCAGGGGAGGGGCAGAGAGAGAGAGGGAGACACAGCATCTGAAACAGGCTCCAGGCTCTGAGCTGTCAGCACAGAGCCTGATGTGGGACTTGAACTCACAAACCATGAGATCATGACCTCAGGCAAAGTCGGATGCTTAACCGACTGAGCCACCCAGATGCCCCTTAATTCTTTTTTTAAACTGTAAAATGGAAATAATAATAAGCAGCTTGCAGTATTGTTAGGATTAGAAATAATACATGAAAAGCACCTGGCACTTATCAGCTCTGCAAAAATATGTAGCTAGGATTATTACAGCGCTCCATTCTTTATTATCTACTCATTGAGTTATTGATTTATTACATTACCCTAATTTATTAATGAGTACCATCAGATATGTCACTGAAGGAAGAGAAGAATATTTTTGAATCAAAGAACCCTGTCTTGCTAAAAGAATATAAAACTTTATGTTCCTGGAGACTTGCACTTATCAGGGAGGGAGAATGATGAGAAAGGATTGCAGTGGTGGTAGTTGGATCACTGGCTAAGCTCCTTCCTTCCCTTATTGTTTCATACCCCAGTTTGGACAGTCAGACAAGCATGTCTGGGCCTTCTGAGGCTCTTGCTCAACTGGGGGATTGTGAGCAGCTGTCCCAAGCACCTGGAATCCAGGGTTGGGGCAGACGCTGCTGCTGTGGGTGGCTGTGGAGCCTCGGAGGGTCATTTCAGGTGACTGCGATGGCCAGGTGGCCTTTTGCTGGGCTTTGTCTTCATCATTTGCCCTCCTTCCCTTCCCTTTTTCTTGCCTAAATGACTTGGCGAGTTATCCTTGGCTAATGTTGTGACCTGTCTCTTTCTTCTAGAATTCTGAAGGTGGACTCTATGTATGCATGAATACATTTTTGGCCTTTGGAAGGGAACACGTTGAAAGGCATTTTCGAAAAACTGGACAGAGTGTGTACATGCACCTGAAAAGACATGTGCGAGAGGTGAGCTGCACGTTTGGAGAACTGGCCCTGTGATGTTGTCGTAGTGTGGTTTATCACGTGGAGAGCTTATTGTGCCCACATGACTTCTGATTCCTTTTGAGGATGGGAAACAAAAATGGGACCCTTTGCAGAAATTCATAGATTTCCCCAAACCCTACCTTACCCAGTTTAATTTTCTCTTCCTCTAAATTTCTGATTGGTGTTAACAAGACATGGGTCAACTGAGTGAAAAACAAAATTAAGCAAAAAACCACAGACAAGTACACAAAATAATCCCAGAAATGCAAAAATCACAAATAAAAAATATTTGGATATTTTTGCTTCAGATTTTTTTTTTTTTTTTTTTTTTTTTGAGCGAGAGAAAGAGCTTTCCTGAAAGTTCAAGTCCCTTTTGTTTCCCTCGCTGGTAGTAACCATGGCTGCAAATTTGTTCTCATTCCTGTATATCTACGTATGGATAGTCATGAACAATATGTAGAATGACTTTGTGTTTTAAAGATGTAGATACATACTCTCGTACTGTTACTTATAATTCTTTATAGAGCTTTACTTTTTCACATTGCTTTCAGATCTATTCATGCTGCAATGAATCTGAATGTACTTAATTCATTTTATTATTTATTATTTCCTCTTATGAGTACCTTGTCATTTATTATTCTCTTGTTCTACTGATTAACATTTAGATTGTTTCCATTTTTTTGCTCCTACAAATAATGCAACAATTAATATTTTTATACACTTATCCTGGGGGTACATGTGTCATATTTATTTTGGAAATAAGTATATCTCAAAGTGGTAATGCTGCTTGTGGATGTACTTATTTTCATTTTTGCTAGGTATTGCCAAATCTTTCCCCGGAGTGGTTGCAACCAATTTCTTCTCCTGTCTGCATTGATTAGCAGTTCCTGTTTTCCCACACCCTCATCAACATTTGGTCAGACTTGATTTTTGCCAATCTAATGGCTACAAAGTGGCCAAATTTCTTATGGCCTATGGCTCATCTTTTTGCTTCATTTATGAATTCTTTTACACAGAAGTTTTGAATTCAATGTTAGGTTTATTAACCTTTTTTCTTATGAATTGTGCCATGTGTATCTTATCTACAAAATTATTTCCCAACTCAATGTCATAATGATATTTCTTTTAATACTTTTTTTTGAAGTGCATGTGTGTTGCATGAGTATATGTGTGTTTTAGCATTTTCGGATTTTAATCCATCTGTAGTTTATTGTATTTGTGTGAAGTATGGGAATCTGTTTTTTATTTTCCATACGGAAAATCAGTTGTCCTGCTATTATAAGCGTAGGGCAATCTTTCTAAATGATTTATAGTATCATCTTTTTGTATATTTTAT